AAAAAACTCTTCACGTTGTAAAATGGTAAACTTCAGAAGAATTCTGAAGTTAGCAGTAAGAGTCGTTTTGTGCTTACCGGACTGGGTGAGGAGTACACTCCGTACCGACACCAAATAGCACTCCTCATGACATATACGTCGTTTCAACTACGATGAATGTTGGCACTTGCCTACATTGGTTGTGCCGTATTGATTGATCGCTGTACATAGTTATCTAATAGTACAAAACTTGAAATGCAGGGTACAGTTTAACGTTACGTTACATTATTCAGTTGTTATAAATATTTATAGATAGTATTAATTAGGCAGAGAGCTTGTTGTATGGTAACCAGACTGCTAATAAACAATTATAAATTACTAAATACATACATATTATTATAGATAAATACACCCAGGTGCAGAACAGGTGATCAAAACTAATCACTAAACCAACTGATCCGTCAAACTACAAGCTATTATTTAATTACACTTATGGTAAAGTTTAAGATTTTGTAATAAATAACTCCTTATTTCTGTTATTACTCGTCAGATTTGTGATGTATTTGTTGAATTCTTGGGAATGCTATTTAACAGCATGCGTGAATGGTATTAATCTTCATATCTCCCCTGGATCATTAAATGTAACGTCTTAAAGTAACATTTCAGAATGTATTATCAATTTAATGTTTTAATATCTTTAAATCAATATTAAATAGTAATGATTTGACAACAGCTAGGCAGGTATGACGTCATGCCACAGTATTTTATAGAAAAATGTACCATATTAAACGTCAAAACGAAAGCGTTTTGACGTTTGATAAAAAGATACTGATTTGACTTGACAGTCCTGTACCCTTTTTTTTTTCCGTGCGGAAATCCCCTCGGATACCACCTGTCGGTGGCATGTCGGACTCGAACCGACTAAAACCGCACGCCGTCTTGGGTACTAATAGCCGGGGAACCAGGTATACCCTAGAAAGGAAGTCCCTGGTACGAGTCCTGTACCCTAATATTTGTATGCAGTTTTAAGTAAAGGCGCAGAGACAAGAATGTAAAATGTTAATTAACTATCTACTTATAATAGTTTATACTAGCTGCGCCCCTCGGTGTTACCAGCGGTTTTAGTCTATGAGCTCTTCCGGACTAATCTATCTCTGTGCCTAATTTCATGCAGATCTGTTGAGCCGCTTTTGTGTGAAAGAGTAACAAGCATCCATACATCCATACAAACATCGCCTTTGTAATATTAGTAAGATTTAGAACTAGCGTCGAAAACAAAAAAGTTTACTCAATATTTGCTACAAAGTTAAACATTATGTAAAAACGGCTACATAAAGCTGTAGAGGTTCAGTATATTCGATTTTGACCTATCATTGTTATAAAAGTCAATAAAATGTGAGTTCATGTTATACTGGTCATTAAAATAATAGAAGACATTCTTGTCGGTGACAAGTCTTGAGTGACGATCTGCACAAAACGACGGGCAAAACTCTGTTCAAAATCTCTGTTCTGATCCAACTCAGTGGCATTCATTAGGAGAGACTTTATTGAGCAGTTAATGATAAAATGCTAATGATGATGCCGCCAGGCGATCTATGGCCCATATAATATGTAGCTGTCTGAAGATGAAACCAAAAGGTGGTACAGAATTTTTTTAATCGCATATCTTGAACCTGTAAAAGTATACAACATATGATCAATATCAATCTAACTACGCACTACAAAAGCACTGCAAAGAGAAGGAAAATTTGATAAAAACCACATACCAATCCATCTGGCCAGGGTGATAGGTCAAAACCTCCTTTCTATATCCAACAGTGGGCTATTAAAGGCTGTTGATGATGATGATCATCAATATAAATAAAACATCATTACAAATACAAAATCTTATATTGACGATGTCATAAGGTACTAACTTTTGCATTCTATGTAGAGAATAATTAGCAATCCTGGCAAGTGTAAAGGTACCTTTATATTTGTTTAACTACTCTGATATAAATTATAATATTATTATTTCACTGACGCAACACTGATTTGGATATTACAAGCTTATTAGGTCTTCAAATTAGTTTCAGGTGGAGCTATTTTCAGTAATTAACATTGGTAAAATATAATTTTGTACTACACAACATAAATTATACACTTGGTACGCAGATAACTAATTTAAATGATGGTGATTTCGTACCGCAGAGTCTACTTTATTTAACAATTACATTTTACATTTGTTAAGTATTATTTTTTTCGGAAATGTTAAATCATTTTCTTTATATATTAAAGAAAGTTCAAGACTCGATAAGATTACTCTAAAGCGAATACATTTACTTAACGAAAATTAAATTAAAAGATTGTAGGTCTGTACCATCAGGGCGAAAAGATGCGACGAAAAAGGCTTCTGTTTAAATACGTAGAGATTAACTGATCTGAGATGCAAAGTTTTATATTATGCTATCAAATTTAAATATTACTTAACGGCTTGAGTTTTGTTATACGTAAAAAATATTAATATAGGTATAGTTACATAGACGTACTTATATTTATTATATGTATTTCTAAAAATAATTATTATCTCACCTATTAGACCTCTTTTTATTTCCATTCAAGTTGTCGTGGCCACTTTACTACAATGACCACTTTTCCCCAATTATCTCAATAGTAACACATGTAACCCAAAGTTCAGTTCAGTTTAAAATTGAATTGAAGTTTTCAACACTTGATTGTTTAAACAAGTACCTAATGTTCCACTTTACGAAGTGGAATAGTTTCTTTAAATTTAAATGGGAAAAACCTTGAGTATAAGGAAAAAATTGCAAAGAAACCATGTCACATTAAAAAGAAATGATTTGGAAGAAGAACTTGACCTGAATGAGATTTTAAAGTCGGTTAAAAAGTTTGTTAACTTATAACGTATGGTACCTATGTAGATCAAATTAGAAGACGGTATATAATTTTAAATATACTGTACTGAACAATATAAAAGAAAAGAAATAATAAATAAAATCTGTAAGTTGTTTCTTATATGCGATCCAATTTGGACTGCGAACTGATTTTTTATCGAAAATGCAGATTGATTAATTGAAATAATTTTAACTCTTTTTCCAAAGGTTTTGCCCGAAGTTTTAAATTTCAACTATTAGTAATATTAGTTTAATATAAAAATAACAATTTGGAGTTAATTTCACCAAAATATTAGGATCTTTCAATCTTTATACTATCTAAAATTTAGATTAAATATTTACCTCCAGGCCAATATTATGACCAACATTGTGTCCAACTTAGCTAAGGAAACAATAAATTTGAATTTACAAGTGATCGCACGTCGTAACATGTCATCTGTGGTGCAATTGAGAGGGTGTCGAATGGCATAGCACGCGCCGCTCATCTCCAATATCCGTCTCATCGTTCACAGCTGGTTGGATACATCTAGCAGTTTGTGACATACATTTGCATCATTGGATACACTAAATTAATGAGTAATAGCTTATAGACCACGTTATCCGCAGGTTTCAAATTAAAAATGATAGTGATAGAGGTCATAGTTCGAACTGGATATTGTCTATGGATTCGCTCTCGCTTGCGTAAGTCTTTTTCTACCCTTCGAACGTTACTTTGTCTCTGCAAGTCAACCTACTCTCTACAAATAAATATTTTAAATATAGAATGAAAAATATTGAAATTGTTGCCCGACTAATTTATATTTAAAAAAATGTATTGTCAGTTTACAGACAGATCTAACCAGACTTTAAATTGAGATCTACTTAACCTCAGCAACAGACTCTAGCTGCCATATTTACTTATGATAACACTAACACTTTACACTATAAACATTGCTACATAGATAATATTGAGTATGGAATGTCATTCCCTATTCGATATGTTCATTGACTGATTACAATAAAAATAATAATTTATTCGTATACTACACGTCAGTTTAATTATCTGTGGTTTTAATAAATGTGTTTTTATTTCCTTGTCAACTCCTCACTCTCTGAAAGACTCAATTACACAATTGAAAGACCTTTGCAATAAAAATACAAGAATTGTCTTTACATAGTTCTTTAAACAAAATGTTATTTTTCTGCACTGATGCTGCTGATTGCACGTATGGCGTACTTAGTGGATTAAGCGGTCGCCACGACGCTCACTACTACGCTGAGTGTTGTGGGTCCGATCCCCACATGGGACGACACTTTGTGTGCTCCTCAAATTGTTGTTCTGAGTCTGGGTGTTTTTTGTGTTCGTTTCATGTATGTTTGTAAAGTCCCCCGCGACACAGGATATATTCCTACTGTGGGAGTTGTCTTTTACAATAAAAAAAAAGATAATCATGAATTATAAACAAATGATAATTGCGTTAACCCTTAACTTAACTTAACGTATTGAAGTCACCTGACATTGGCTATTAATTAAACAGGTCATCAATTATAGAGTTCGTAATTGAATTTTGATTATTTACTGACAAGAAACAGTCGCCAGCATAACTTAATTTTTTAAATGTCTATGTAACTATTTAACAAACATATTTTTGCACGCGTTAGTGCGCCATATAAAGTAGTATTTTTGCAAAGAATATAAACAATCTGTTAATTTGACGACACAACCCATTACTTAGAAATCGTTGTAAATTGATATTCATTGTTCAAAACGTGCGTTTTATGTATAAGTACCAACTAACAAAGAAAAAGTATATGTTGTGTATTTAAAGATGTATAATTAGGAGTCAGCTGTTTGCGATACGATACTTGACCCTGAACCTTGACCGGCCCGCATGAATGGAACAATAACTCTTATTATAATCGCACACTATGTACCTTATTTTTGCGATATGTTGCCGGCCGCTATACAGTACAGACTTCGTGGACTACTTACATAATTTATTAGCTGATCACGTCCGTAAAAAGTAAAGCGAGTTTACCTTTTGCGGTAACGAATGGGATCACGCGACGATTTTTGAATATCGAACATATCGAGGACCGATCCATTGCGTCGTAAAAGCTACTTAGGGAAAAGTCACGAAAAATTACATGTCTGGAACGGAACCGCTAGCGGGGCGAAGGCGAAGCAAGAGGGACGAGGCGCGGGGTGAATGGCGGCGGGTAGGCTTTGTTGCTCGTGCTGGCATTCCTTGCCTGGGAACCGGGAACGGGCGTTTGAGCCCCGCGCGCCGCGCACCTGCCCTCCCCACCCCCCCGCTTGCATTCTTGCCCTCTCTCACTTTCATTGTTCCCTTCGGCGCGGGAGGTCGCCGCGCCGCGTACAAATAATGGAACCAGTCGTTTTAGTGGGGACGGCTTGTTGGCTCACTCCAATAAACACGTTCGACCTGTCCATAAATGACATTTAGGGATACACTTGTTAATTTCTAGCGGCGTTGGTCCGCCGACCCCGCTCATATTAACAGGCCAGTAATTTGAATTCACGGCTGATAGTTTTCATTTCTGTTAACCAATTAAGAAGACACACCAATCATATGTTTGACAGTTAACGGTGTAGCCCCGATGTACGGTGCACCTGCGCGAGCGCATATCCTAATGAAATCATCCCCAATAACAACAATAGAGATGGCCATTATTATTGTAATTTATCAGAAGGGTCCGAGATGTTAGTCATCGACGTGCTGCGCCGAATTTTGATTCATTTCGGATGCTCGGAATGCCATTGTGATCACCGCCATTACCTGAGCGCAGGTAATCCAACTATGCAGCCTTACTTTTGTTTATACGTTTTGACAAACTTTTGTAACTTAAAAAGTGTTATTATCAACAAGGGTGGCAACTTCTATTGTCTAATTTATCTGTGTAACGCTTTTTTTTAAACACTTCTGAAGCGAAGGTCTGTTATAATAATGCCTATTAGGGGGAATGAATTAGACATGTTAAAGAAGGTGGAATTATAACGGAAGTTGCTCCTAAAAGGCATTTATATTAAGCGTTTCCTGCAAAAGGAAGTCTTATTGTAATTCATGAACCGCGTTATATATTTCATTTGTATTACGTTGATGTGTTTTAATATTTACAGCTCTAATTTAAAAGTTGTTTGGTTAATGGCGTGATTACGAGCAATTAATGTTGTAACAGCTTTTTTATTGGACGAATCTTTGAATTAAATGCAAAGTTAAAGTGATGTTTATTTTTAGTACAGGAAACGGGTTTATAATTTGGAATAGTTAGTTACAATTAACCGTAAAATGACACCACTTTGAATCTTTCTATAGAATTAGACATATATTTTATTGAACTACGATTCGACAGAATTTCGCCAGTTATCGTCACGGATGTAAAGCGTTGACCATAATCGTTACAAGTCCTCATCGCCTTTGTCGAAAGTCATTGAAGAATCAGAATCTGGAGAGACAAATAGTTATATGAATTCTACGCTCACGATATAACTTTTGCTGAAGCTTTGCGCTTTGATGAAAAAGCTTCTGAAATATATAATAACTACACAGACAGTCTCCTGATGACATTGAAGAACAGAAAATTGATAATATTTCAACAAAAGACATTTACGAGTTCGTTCTAACACATTCTATTTACGTCCATTTCGTGAATGTATTCTAAATGTACCTCTACATATGTATTTATAACTTGTATTGAACGTAGAATTTATATTCGAGAGGGTCGAACGAGCATTGATCGAATACTCCCAATGGAATTAATTAAAGTGAGATAAGACGGTCGTGCTAATTATTCTGGTCGACTCTGGACAGGGTTATCAGCAAGTTCATTTCCAATATAGCGAACTGCATAGATACACAGGCTGTGATGATGTTAGATTAAATAAAGATTAATTTGTTCTTGTACATTGCAATCTTGTTCGTCATCATGGAATGTCTCATGAATGGTGATAATGAAACATTTTATCGCGTTTATAAGGTATGTTTTGGGTCAGGAGCAAGTCAGGGCGCATGACATAGGCATACGTAGAAATACCTAAACTGTCACCACAGTTTAGGTATTTCTAATACTTTTTAATAAGTATATAGGTATATGTCTGCTTAGTTAACATATGACTACGTTGGACAGAGCTGCTGTGGAAAACTCGAAGGGAAACTTGTTGATAAACTCGATAGAGAGGGCCCGTGGTCACCTTTGTATCATGAATTTAAGGCAACTAGATCAATCGACCTTGCATACATACAGAGCATCAAAATTAATAATAGGTATACCTCAGAAGTAGAACAAACAGCAGAATATCTTTTAAAATCACTTGTAACTGACGATCGGCCGGAAAATGACACAAATTATCATCGACAGATCAGGCAGTGGCCGATCGAACCACCACTGTCTTCAATGTCTGACTTACCATCTTCAGACGAATTTCTCAGTATCGTTGGATCATTGCCGCTAAACAAGGCTTCGGGCGATGATAAAATATCAAACAAAATGATAAAAGCTTGTAAACTTTAGGGTGACACGATTTTGACTGTTTTAAGCGTTGCATTGCGGAAGGAATATTTCCTCGTATTTTGCGGTGCGGTGATATTCATATAATACCAAAAAGCGGCGACAAGCCGCCGGATGATCCTAAATCCTACCGACCAATCACATTGTTACCATCGTTAGGAAAGTTTGTAGTGCTCCGGTTTCTGCCGGGTGGAGTTACGTTTTATGATAGACAATTTGGATTTACGTTGGGGAAATCGACAATTGATGCGTTTATATCGTTTAGGAAGATTGTCACAGAGTCAAAATTTCAATACGTGTTGGCTATTTTCTTAGATATATCTGGCGACTTCGCCAACGCATGGTGGACCGTGCTGTTGCTGAAATTAAAATCACGGGGGTGCTTTAAAAATATTTATTTCCTTACCTCTTCGTACCTTTCACAAGTTACAACTAAACTAAGACTTGGTCATTACCCTGTTTCAAAGGCGCTTGCAATGGGATATCCTCAGGGATCAGTGTTGGGTCCATACTTGTGGAATACTCGTACTTGCAGTATATCCATATGTACTCCGAACGCGTATGCTGATGACCCTTTATAATTGGTGGAATCAGATACAAGGCGGGGCTTAAAAAATTAGCCAATATATGTTTGAACTTAATATCTAATTGGTGAACATAATCTCTTAACTTATGCGCCCAACAAAACCTTCCTATCACACGATTGCTTCAACAGCAGTCCGTCTAAAATGACCTCATAGACGAATAGCAACAACCCTCGGACGAATCATCTAAGGGGCGCCGCCTTTACCAGTTCTTTCCATCTGTTCGCGAACGGTTGTCGAGGACATGGCTTTTGGTGGATCACTGTGTCAATCAGTTTATTACAGTATTCATTTAAATTAGTCGAGTCGCCATTGTGTCAATGCTGAACACCTGGCTCTAACGGTGAACAGTCTGCTCATCATATTTTCTGGGAATGTAGTCTTTAGTATAATAAACGTAGTATAATATTGAATAGCTTAGAAGTGATATCCGGGGCGGTATACCTACTTTGGGGAACTTGTATAAAATAGGGTGAATTTCCGTGCGTTTAGGCGATTAAATATAGCACATTTAGGACCCATAATATTTTGTTGCTGTGGTGCTTCCCGGTTTTAAAAAGAAGTGTATGCATATTTTATTTCATTTTGTCTTCCGCTTTGCTAAGGAGGAAAGTGGATTATATGGATTATATTTTTAACTGCTCGAATTTTCTTCAGATTAATTTCGTTGCGGGTTCCAAGACAGTTTAATTTTTTCCTGGGACTTCCCGAGTGTCATAACTCGGTGTGTTCGTGGGTCACTGCTGTTGATCCTGGTGTACAAGAGTTACAGTGGTGGGCATGTGGGAGGGAAGAGTCCTATTAAAACATGACTACGTATAAATATTCTCTTAGTAGTTTATAATAATAACTAGTGTCATCTTATACTTATCCGTCTGATCTTAAACTAGAGAGAGTGCAGAGAGAGAAAATAGAACAGGCAATACCTTTAAGTTGGACAAATATCAATTAAATTACACTAGCTCGACAATTTAGAAAAATTGGCATGACTGAATTATTTATATATTCAAAACAATTTCAGTTTGCAATTAAAACTTATAATGCATGTAATGTACTTATTATTTTTTCTATGTATGAAGTATGTATTTTGTATGTTAGACCAAAAATTGAACATAACTTGTAAATACTTAAAATGTTCCCTTCGCACTAAAAGAATACACCAAAAACTTAAAAACAATTATAAGATTGGCCAGAATTTGTTATATTTGTTATTATTCTAAATAATAATATAGACAACTATTCCCTTGTATTTCGGTGACAGTTCTTGCATTTGAAACTCTGGCGAAAATCCAAATATATAGCAATGTTCATGGAGAAATTGGTTTTGGATTATTAAATCTAAGGCTTTTTGTTAATGCAGTCTTGCGCAGTGTATACGATTGCATTAATGAAGTTCATGGTTTGACTGCCTGGTTTGGTGGCGGAGTCATAATGAAGTTTTCTCTTCAGAAATACTAGACAGCAGGTACAATCTTTGGGAACATACCGGATCAACATCGCGCTTGTTGATATAATATAGTATTTCCTTGTGTTCTTGTGTTAAGTGAAAAAACGATAGACTTTTATTCATAAAATAGCGGTATAAAATTAAACATATTCTTCTTTAATGTGCTATATCCCCTGGATGGGGCAGAGGGCGTCCACAGCTAGTCTTCATCTCGACCGCTTCTAACCTTCGTAATCTAAACTAACCTAACTTTATAATCACGATCATCCTTAAAGAATCACTAAGCATACATACAAAAAGTATTTTCATCTTTTCTTCAAGTTGTAAATATTGATAAAGATAAACACACATTTCAAACTCTTTTATGGGCTTTTATTTAAAAATAGATAACTGTTTATTTCAAAGAGAGGGTTAATTATCGATCAGGCTTGACCCTTGATGTTCGTGAGTCATATGTGGTCGCGGTAACCGGAGACGGGAAGCCCCGGGGCCGGGGTTGATGTGAAACCGATACCATTTGGGTCACCACACATTCTGGACGACCCCGAACCACCTGTCCCATACCTACTAATTACTATTGATATTCCTGCCCCACAAAGTTTAAATATCGAACTCGTGCTTTATCAGGGTTGCCACTATTTATAAAATCTACAGATATATAATTATAAAAAAGCTACTCGTATTATTATTACTACTAGTGTTAACTTTATAAATAACCCATGCAGGTAATAAAAATATGATATCCTGTTTGTAGCTTTTACTTTAAATAGAGAGTAATTGAGTCCACTGATAAATAATTGATAGATAGAATGAAGACGTCACTGCTC